AAAAATGTATATATTTAACACTACATTTAAACATAAGAATAAAGTACAACATATGCTTATCGTTTTTTTTTAAAGTTTTATAAAAAATATTTTACTTAAATGATCAAACGTGTACGATTAGTTATTTGATAAATATATTTATTTAACAGTAAGATGAATAATTTACAAATAAATGTAATATGTTATATAGCCCATTATTATATTTTTTATTGTATGCACATTAATATTGGATGTATTTTTCTCTCTCTCTCTACTTTATATTCTCAAAAAAGAAATGAAAATGATCTGATATTTGTGTTATTTTTAACCTTTTTCAATTTCATATTAAAAAAAATATATATTAACCGTCTACAATTAAAAGTTTTTTTTGTAATCTGCGTAAATTACTGTTACATTAACCCATTTAAAAGTAAGATGTATGTCTCCGAACAACCACTTAGAAAATAAACCCATTTAAAATGATAGTTGTATAATTATCATATATCCGCAGAACGAACAGGTACAATGCGTTTCGTCTGAGGTTTAAAAGATAGGGGAATTGTTCCCCTATGTCAGCTCTCTCTGTACATGTAAAATTGTTGGTGAAAAAGCGCCTTGAGGTCGACCCCCGGAAAAAGGACATCTGGAATTTCCAGATTTTTGCCTATATTTGCCACTTCATCAAATGTTTTGTTACCAGCCTTTTGATATGAACTATGTAATAATCAAGCAAAAGAGATCTATAATGGTGTCCTTATGTGCAGAATTTCCTTGCTAAAAACTAATGTACAACTACTTTGATTAGTTTTTTTGAAGTTATATCAACACTTTGTAAAGGTCATATGGTAAAGGTAGAACTTTTATTATCATATATGTACATGTACTAACATAACAGTTTAAGTAGTTTGCACTAAACTCATATGCATCGCAGGAAAGAGTTAGTCCTATTTTGTCACACGGGACTTTTATTCTGATATACAAAGATGAAACGTTCATAACATTCCAAGAAAAAGAGGCATAAACTACCACAAAAGATATCTAGATACACTTTAAATTCCATAAGACATACTTGGACAAGGACTGGAATTAAAACACAAACTGTAATCATTTTCGTCGCCTTGACAACCTTGGCTCAATATTGAAGGTGTTGTTGGGCTCACACACTTCCTTGAACTTTTAGTTAAACCGGAACCACAAGTAGTTGAACATATTTGCCAATCACTCCACTGTGCCCAATTGCCATTAACTGCAGTTCAAAAAGGCAATTATAATGTTTACATAGCTAATAATTGATTAATGTAAAATATGAGTGGTAACTGAATTCATGTCACCAAATTTGAATATAAGCCAATAGAATCTAACACACTAAACTTAGTTGCTATAGAATAATAGGCTTTAAACACACAATTTTATATATATCAAATTAAAGGTCAGTTCGAATATGTGTTATGTGTTACATGTATGAATATACTCATTTAAATCTATTTGTCATTGATATTTGGCTTGAAGCCTTATAGTAAAACTTTAAAATAATATGTGGCTATCAAATTTATATTGACCTTTAATTTATTTATCACTCATTTACACATTCATACTAATACATGTGAACAATGAAGGCAGGATAAATGTCTATATTGTGATATAAGATAAGCATTACCTCGACACGACTCAAGTTTAGTAATCTCGTCTGTACTAAGTTGACACGTGACTCTCTCGTCCAATATGGCTAATGTAATGGAAAACCCCGAGAACAACTGCAGAAACATAAGGTTTTCATTTTAATTTAAAGTCCTGTAAACTCAAATTTGTTCATGATTTTATATCATAAATCTGATGCTCAAATTAAGATTCTTCAAATTGTAATTTCAAAAAAACATTATTGTAAAGATATTACCGAATTTACATTTCATGTAAATAAAGGGAGGTAAGTAGAAATATATTTTCGATAAAGTCTTAAACAATTTTTTTTTCAATAAGAATGAATGCATTGATTTTAAATGATTCCATTGGAATATGTACAAATATTTTACAGTATATATTTTACAAAATTCTTCGATGTTTGAAATTGGTTTTAGAAGCATAATTATATACATTTATAAAATTTCACTCAAGTAATGGTAACTACTAAATTACACCAAATGATGCATTTTAATGGTCTCATTGGGCCTCCTGTGCATCAAAAGAGTAATCATACAAAATAATCGATTTGCATACATATTTAGTGTCATTCTGTGAATTACTGAATTCAAAATTTATAGGTCACATTGTGGTTGATAATAACATTTAAGGACATGAATGGTGACATGTCCGGGGTCCGTACTGTCAGTGCCTGAAAGGGCGGATGGGCCCTCATTATGCCTAAAATACATAGTTAAATACATTGTTACATCCTTAATTACAACATACAGGATCTTTAAGTGTTGAATTCTGCTTAAGCCCGGTGCTATAAGGAGTGGATGGCAGCAATTTCCAGTGCCGTACCGTAACAGGCTCAATCAATGGTTAAAACTTGTCATTTTTTGGCATTCTTTAGGGGTCATTTATTCTCTATCTTACATGTATTACAGCAATTTTATATTAGATAATGCAAATAATAAGTAATGGAATCCTATTTGAATTTTGTTAGGTTATAAAATCGTCACACCAACAATATTCCTTCATACGACAACACAACAGGTATTTAGGCAAACAGGAATTTGCCTTTCCTGTTATTAGATTTAACGAACTGTTTATCTGATATATAATTAAGCTAAATGTTTGCCCTGTAATTATATAGTTATGTATACCCTTATCATGTTATATGACTGGATAAAATTTCACTACACGTAAATGTTACTCTTATTTTAATAATTATTTAACTATTTTTTTTCCATTTTTATATTCAACAAAATCTTTAACCTTTTTAAGATTTGATTTAATGCTTATTCTGTAAATAAATTGAACAAAATGTACATCCTATTATTAGATTTAACTAAATATTTATCCAATTATTGGATTTTAACTAAATCGTATCCTGTTATTAGATTTAGCTAAATGCTTATCCTTGAATTAGATTTAATAAACTGTTTATTATGTAATTCAATTTATCAAAAATTGATTCTGTAATAAGATTTAACTAAATCCCGTTTTTAGATTTAATTTATTTTATACTTTTATTTGATTTAACAAAATGTTTATACTGTTATTAGATTTATCTTAATATAATCCTACATTAGGATTTAACTTTACGCGTGTCCTGTAATAAGATTTTACCAAATTTTATTCTGTTATTTGAATTTGACTAGATGTATAAAAGATATAAATAAAATTGGAAATAATAATATTTGTTAAATAAGATTCGTATATATTACACTTAAAACTGTCAATTACATATCACATTTTCTTTTGAAATTCAACCCATTACAACAAACAAATATTTCATTTACAACAAATACCGTTCTTATTGTGATATGAAATTACACTTGTTTTAATTAGCATATTTAAGTAATTTTGTTAATTGTTAGTGAGGATATAAGAAAGTTACTTACATATTCTTAAAACGACCGAGGCACACATACTTACAAAAAGAATATGTTAACTGATGATTTCTTATCTACAACGAAGGTATTTCATTCAACACATTATCTTACTTAATTGTGACCTTTATCTATATATGACTATAAAATATGACAAATATATTCTAATATTTTGAAAAGTCAGTTATATTATCAAATGTTCCTTATTCATTTTGACTGAGTATATTCTACTCCGACTGTATATAGGTAACATATATCTTAAGATAAAGAAAACCGAAATGCGCTATTTCAGACATGAGCGGACATAATCAATGAGCATTCGATATGTTTTTGACGTATACCTACTGTAAATGAGAGTATTCCACGGGTCCCTTGTGGGGTTTAAGAATTAGTTAGCAAATGGCAACCGGTGATATTTATAACGCATCTTGGGTTCGCGACCACAAATAATGTTTTGAAAGTGAAAGCAAAACATCATTAGTAACAATGTAAATAAGAGCCCCATCAAAGCGTTGGTAGCAATGATAGACAGATAAAACATCTAGTGTTATCCATGGCCGAGTGGTTAAAATCATCGACTTCAAAACGATTGTTTCCAAGCGGTTTTAATCCCGACATGGATTTTGATTGATTATTGCATGTGTGGGAGCTATCCTGCTTGGTTACTTAACAACGCCTGTGGTTCTACCCCTGTACCCGTTCGTGCATGAAATACTAGTAATGCACGGAAGAGCACCTGAAGTTTTCCCGCAACAGTAAAGATGGAAAGCCGCCATATGACCTTTGCTGTGATGATGTGACGATATAAAATCAAACCAAAAAAAGAAAGAGAAAATGAAAAACAATAACAACAACAACAACAAAAACAATAACAACAAAAACATCAAGAACAAACAAAAACAACAATACATTTTTTAAAATCTGAGTAAGGCAGAGGTAGATATTCATTGTAAGGTGTATATTAATGAATCACAAACCGTAACCAATAATATTTCCACATTTCAGTTCTTAGTAATGACTAAAAGAATGTGAATGTGTTGGCATAATTATGAAATTGTCATGTTTTATTGTTGCACAAAGGTATTAGAATATACAATAAATTCCAATTGATATAGTGCTGTGTGGTTTATTGTTAGAAGAAAAAAATGATTGAATATCATGCCAACCTATATCGCTTAAATAAACAAAAGAACACAGTCTCATTCAAAATGAAATTGTATTTTCTAAAGTGATTTCAGTCAGAAATTGTATATTATCGGAATTGGTTTCTAAGCAAAGCAAGGAACTAAAATGATATGATAAGTGGCGGCATGGCTGAGTGGTTAATGCGTCGGACTAGTAATATAATGTTCGCTAGCCACATTGGTTCAAACCCCGCCACAGACAAGTCGTTGTTTCCATGAGCAAGAAACTTTACATTCATTCTTCAATAATGGTTGGTAGGAACGGATTCAAGAGTATATCGATAAGCTTATAGCTTCATTTACAATCGAACTTAAATGAATTCTGTATGAATCAAATGATTTTTTAAATTATCTGCGTATATTGTACATAATATTGAACAAGGCTATTAGTTCTTAAAAGTAACAATTAAAGAAGTAAGAAAACATGTTCCTGCCAAATCTTTTATGTTATTTTCTCATGATTAAGGTAGATAACAGAATATCTAAAGAGAGCAAAGGGTACTTATGTTATTTATGTCACGATGAAGTTACCATTAATGTTGTGGTGCGAAAAATATTATTTTTAGTAAGAAAAAAGTATATATTTATCAATTATTCTAAAACACATAAACATAATATTTTAATGTGCTAACGTACATAAATTGCTATGAAAAACGAAGCTAAATATGCATTATAACGCATTCAAAGAAAAAATGAGGTTTGAAATGATGCAAATCATGACAATTAGAAATGTGTTTTGTTTAAGACAATATTGAAATATTGTAAAGAATAAACAATAAACTTGATTTATTTGAAGATTCAAGTCACACAACTAGAGTTTGGTGGTTTAAATCTTCTATTTGAAACAATTATACATGTACTATAATTATTGCTTAAAGTATTATAATAAAAGATTTCACTTATTCGGATGCAAACTACATGTAATTCCTTATTGCTTTGAAAAGCTTTAATGCATTGTAGCAATGACTTTGAGCAGAGACATAGATACAAAATGCCTAATTTTTCACTTTTGGATAGGCATGAGTGATATTTCAATGGAGTATATAGGAGTTGCTTATCTCTGTTATCTATGTCTCTGCTTTGAGTATTTCGATAATAAAAGAATCCATAAAGATTTCTTGAAATTGCTTTTCAATTAATCATTTGTTAACCATCAAAATTGCCACTATTTGATGTTTAAGGTACGAGCCCCTTAATGGGCACTATAAGGAACTGTAAATATGACTACATAGGTCAGTTATATATCTTAAAGCACACCTGTATGCACAATTTGAACAGTTTACCGTATGGTTTACGAGTTATGGAGATTTTTCTTAACTATACTTGGCTAAGGGTTTGTTTTCAGAAATGATCTATTACTTCATCATTATGAAAAAAATGTTTTCCTATTAAACATTGCTAAGAAACAAAAAAGTATTCAGCTAACAAATGACACAAGCAAAATTATTGTTTCTAATCAATATGTTTGAAATATGTAAAAAATGTTACCCTACCCCACCTATTTTAAATACTTGTTGTCCTACTTAGAGGGCTTTATTAAAATTTCCCAAAAATTTAACAAAATGAAAGGCTGTTTTTAAAGTTAGCTTAAATTTTCTTTAAAATATATTGGTTGATTTTGTCAAATAGATTTTAAAATATCAAGTGCCATATTTGTTTTTAAATCTGGCATAATTTAACCAATAAATACCGATTATTATTATATAATGAACATATAACACTTTTGACTTTTCAAGAATGATCCGACTGACACAATAATAATGTTCAAAGAAAAAAGTGAAAGAAAATAAAAGTTGCCTCTTCTGGGGTTTGAACCCGCGTCTTTCAGTTTCAATGCAGTTGACAGTAGCTCTAGCCTATTTGAATACTCTTCAAATTGGAGGTATTGCATTAGGTGGGTCATACCTTAACTGAATTAAGAAAACACATTTGTTTGTATGAATGTCCGAATATACATCATATAACATTATTAAGAGTACAAAACTTCTTTTTATGTAACGTCTGTCCATCTGCGTTGATTTGAAAATGTGTTTGTGTGTCTAGAGGAAAATTGGAAATAAATTTTATTAATTGATATTCAGTGTTCAGAATTAATTGGAATGCAAACAACACCGATAATTAAATGATAATCTTCTAGAGGTTAGAAGTGAAACAATTCCTTTTAAAATCAAAATCAAATACTATTCAGTGTCTGAAACATCTTTTTGCCAGCAACTTTATCGTCAGTAGTATCACCAAGTTCCAAACAATGTCTACTATGGTAATTACTCTCAACACACGCAGAGGTAGGTTCACGTTTTCACCCGTAATGTACGCTAATCCAATATCTGAAAACAATTAACGATAAAAACTTCATTGGTAAACAATTTGTAACAATTCTGAGCTTATTATTGTCATAAAAGGTTGAAATATTGCTAATACACATGAAAAGGGTAACTTTAATAAAAAGGTATAAAGAACAAGGAAAACATGCTTGGTTAGCTACTGTCATTTCTATTTGGTAGTTACTTAACCAAGCATTTTTTTCTCGCTAAAATCTCCGATTTTAGAAGATTAATTTCTCGACAATTTTCTAATATCATAAGATTCTACATTACACGAACAATTTGATGCATGTTACTTTCTCCTACGTTCTAAAACCTACGCAGCTTTCCTTTAAAGTCACAAGTCACGAAGAAACAATCTAGCTGGACCCATATTGTACCAATATTTGAAATGACTTGAGAAAAATAATGTCATTTCGTAACAAAATGTCATCTTTTATCTAAACTCAGATAGAATTGTTGAAAATCTTTCAAGAAATTTCTACTTGTATTCTGTAATTTGTTTATTCTTGTTATATTATAATATTTCATGTAATTTTCTATTATACAAATATACTCTATGTGCTGCTGCACTTGTATAAAGTAATTTCTTTGTTGCCCTAATAAAGGCAATTTGCTGTAAATTAGTTATAAAATTCTTGAGAGATTCAATGACTGTAAGAAAACAAATCGTTGAAATGTAACCCTTGCTCATCCTTTCGGGTAACGTGTGTAAGTATCATTTACATAGTGCCAAAAAGTTCGTAACTAATAAAAATACTCGTATGTTCACGTACAAAGTAGAAATAAAACGGAGTATGTTGGATATTTACAAGAGACAAACAATCTCAAAAACTCTATTACCTAATATACAAAAGATTCCAAACAGGACAAGCATTGCTACCAGACAAATATATTGCCGACTATTTCTGTCGCCTTCAGAGCGATAAATAACTAGCCAATAAATGCAGCATGTCTCGGAAATTGCTTTTAATATCAAGAAACTGGCTGCAATTATTACCAGAGTACTTCCATGTTGAGCAATGTTCCAAATACCTGGAAAAAGAAAACAGTATATAAAGACTACATTGTATTATGTTTAAGAGATTGTTTGAAATTTGCATAACTGTTTACAACAAAACGAAAAATTGAACCCTCTTTGCAAATCATGATATACATTATAACCATCAATATAATATCATCTGCCACGTTACTTCCAGAGATGATCATTCTTACTCATTTTGATGCGTAAGATGTTATATCTGTACATAATAAGTCTTTTGACGATTTGTTATCCCTTTGAGATTGGAACCAATGCCCATTATCTCTGTTGATTATATCCCATCGGGGACATAAGATTATTTCGTGTGTGGTTAACTATCCAGCCAACTTCCGAAGGTTGATGTTTCTACGCAAGTATTTACCTCAAAAGTGAACGGAAGACTCCAGAAGTATTCATTCACAAATAAAGCAGGGATGTCGCCAAATAACTTTCAAAGTGACGGTGTGATTTATAAGTTTAAAACCCAAAATCAATAAGATAAAATAGAAGTACAAGAAAATAACACAATAAAATCTTCCTTACACACTTGACTAGCTTTTCGCATCAGACAATTCATCTTTCAGTTTTCAGCACTTAACAAGAATTTTAGACATGATGCTTAAGACCATTGAAGTCAAAACACCCTATCTCGCAATAAGGTTCGAAATAAGAAAATTTAACGTAGGATTATTTTTATAACTATCACTAGTTTTTAGTTAAAATATTATCCAAAGATTAACATGTTTGACTGCTATAACCTACTCATATAACCAAACACCTATATATTATCTTTTTCATCTGTATAATGTAATTACAATTATTTAAAAGAAAATGAGAAATGTTTGACTGCAGCTGGTGCATAATTTTATGTCGTTTCACATATTCATGTTTCTGAGATCTTCTTATACACCTTATAATAAATGACTTACCGATTCCCAAACGGAGACAGACCATGACATTTGTAAAGGAGCATACAGCTAGTTTTGAGTCTGAAGAAAATATAAACGTTATACAAGACACAGTATACTATGTTGCCACCATATAAAGGTCTAATGAATGTGTAATTATGGCGATTATTACGGTGTTTGGCAAATAATTGGCAATGGAATAGTTAATGAGACACTATAAAAAGAACCTAAGTCATAAAAAGACTGTCCAACTATTTTAAGAATTGATCGTTACCGATACATTCTGAACGAAATTTACAGAAATTTTAGCGGGCCAAATTGTTTATTGATTATTTCATCATTGTAAACGCAAGTCAAGTCAGTCGGATTTTGATATTCATCTTTTACACTTGGATTAGCATGATGCAAATTTGGATAATATGTTTTCCACAGTCAATTTTAGATTTGTTGTACATAAAAAAGGAAAAAAAACACATAAACATCAATTATTAGTTATCTATCCACATACCTTGTGGAATTGTCTATATAATACATTTTCCCGTATATGTATGTGTTGAGTAGCAGTAACGAAGAAAATCAAATAGCTTATGTGTAAAGAGTTACCCATAGTAATGCTTACAGAATCCTCTGCGGTCATTGGAAGAATTAGCTGACTGAGAGCGGCGGGAATCTTGGATCCGTGATGGTTGCCTGAAGCGAATAAACAAAATGACAAAGGGAATTTGACTTTTTTTGAAATGATCATATATATGGAACATATGGTCAATCTAAGTAGAAAATGATCTTTTGTGAAGATTTTTGACGGTAATATCAATTTTATTACACTACTTCTAAATTTAAATCTAACTTTAGGACGTAGATGCTTTTCTTATACATGTCATATCAATTTAGAACAGTTAAATCTAAAACATTAAGTTAATGTGATAGATACTTATCATGATAGTGTTCGTTAAAGCCACAAAGCAGTTTGATAGAATCTGTTCATGGCTGCAGCCAAATCATCCAACCGGAAAAAGCAGTATTACAATTATCTTACATTTTATCTTATTTTATATATAAGAATTTAATGTTGTAGTGGCTTTCAGAGGCTTTGTATTTTACTACGAGCAGCACTGAAAAATTGATATCTCGCTCGACCATCGGAGATATCAATTTTCTCACGCAGCGAGTAGCAAAATAGGTGACCTCAGAAGCGACTACAACATGATACTCCTTTTATTATATGCATTTACGTTTTAAGACAAAAAGAATTCCATTTAACGTAACTTATATTGATTGTTTTAGAAACCGAAAAATAGCTGTCATGAAATTAAATTCGTGAATGACAGATTAATAAGTAATTTTTGCAAAAGAGACCAAGCCTTCAATAAGTTTAGTTACCGTTTTAAAATGCTACGTAATATACAGCTTAGATTGGAAACAACATAATAAATAGTCGGGCACTGCAATATATGGTACTGTTTTTGACACTGACATAGTACGATTTTTCTATCCACTAAAGCTTAATCGCATATTTCAGGGAAGAAATGTATAGGTATATGACAAATATTGTTACAGTATCAATGATCTTGAAATTGTCTTACACTATGCTAATCTCATCATACACTTGTCTATTTACATACATTTGGCGAGGCGCTGTACGACCAGTGACTTCCCGTTGTTGAGACGGAGATAAAGTATTGCAATCTAATGGCAAGCTGACATGCGATCGTTTCTTTTTTGGACTATGTTTTTCAAATTCCCGTTTAACATCAAAGATAAGTTCACTGAATTCAATTTCTAGAAGAGTGGATAGATGCTCCTCACATTGCCGCAAATGAATATTATTGTCAGTGAAGCTTGCCAAATAGTTTGCTACTGATTCTAGATATTCCTTGATATCAATATGCTTCTGCTCGAATGTTTGATAAAGTCTTTTTAAATCTCCGTTTTCAGCGACAGATTGGTTGTATTGACGAATCATGTCAGTTTTTTTCAGAATTTCTTCTAGTCGTTTTATGCTGTCATGAATAAGGGAAATGGACTCAACAATTAACCTTCGTACTTGAACAGTATCTACATCTACAACATTATTATTTGTAGGGCTTCCGCTTGTTGCACCTCGTTCTTTTAAATCAATGTATTCGTCGCTACTGAATTCTGCCGGATTTAGGGGTAATGTTTTATATTCGCAATAATGTGATACAAGTGAATTTAAAACCATGTCAGTTGGAATGTCCTCTGTATCGGAAGAAAGTTTAAGTTCCTGGCTGCATCTTGGACACCTGGATGGCTGTGATCTGAAAAAAGTTATAGAAAAAAGGACATTACTGAGGATGTTTTATAAACGAACACTCTTAAAAAAATGGTTGCGTTCTCTAAAATGCGGAAAAAGACGACGCGTTTTACAAAGTTGTGGGATTGAATGCGTTTTAATGTGGAAACAAAATTAAAAAGTGAAATAAAAACGAGTCTTCAATTTTCAAATATTTTTTTTCTCAATGCTTTCAATGGATATTTTTCTCTAGCGGATCATCAATGTCGTATTGTGAAATGTTACCTCGTAATCCTTCGGAGATATATCTTTCTGTCCTTTAGAATCTTCGAATTATGTAGTGTTTGAAAGGAAAAATCGTTGAATACCAAACCATGGTCAAAATAGAAGATAATAAGTACAATTTTAATTAGTTGTAAGTGTTATATTGACGTCTTATTCAAATCAAAGTTTATACTTTGACATTTGTATAGTCTAGGGTATATGAGTATTAGTGCATATTTGATTTCTTGAAGACGTTAATATCTACGAAATAGCTTTCTAAAGTTTCCTGTATTTAACGGCATTGTATCAATACATATATGTATTGTAACAATAAAAATCTTAAATTGTTAACACTTACCCTAATATTTTCTTCAGACATGGACTTTCACAAACACTGTGCAGACACGGCAGCAGCTTAGGATCACCTTTAAATCCCTCTTTACAGAATGGACAATTTAATAGTTTTTCATAAAGTCCGCTCATTTTCATGCAAAGATTAAAAATATTAAAAGTTTCAATACTTCCTGAATTTTAGTCTATCTATAAAATCAATATATAAACGTTTGACACGTTGATTTATGGTCAGACATAATGTATACCCCGTTTTTCTTCAAATGGTTTGGTATCTATTAAAATGCCTATATAATGTTTGCATAAATTAAAAATGAAATTTGAATTTATCCTTTCAAAACGTTAGTATATAATTATTATACAGGTACGACAAACGAATTTATTGAATGAATATTATACGCTATTATGTCCATTTTCATTCAACATTTTATCCTACTTGTCATTTTGTTCGAAAGTAAAAATAGATATAAAATCTTATTCTAGACTAATATATGTGATATATTAGGGGCAAACTGAAAGGGCAAAACACAAGACCCTATCGATATAAATACCATATAAACATCGAGTATGCATGGAAAAATATACGCCTATATAGTTTGTTGAAAACTATTATATTAACATAATTAAACAGATGTATGAAGCTTAAAATTTGAAATTTGATATTGGAAAATATAAAGTGCTATACAAATTCTATTCAAATGTCGAAAAGACATTTTCTACAGAGTACAAATGCCATTTTTAAAATTCTACACACTATATGCAATTTGAGAATGAATACATAGTGTCATTTAAAAAAGAAAATAAAATAAAAATAAACTAGCAGTGTTTTAAGGTAGGACCACAATAGCTTGAACTTTAGTAGGAAATTAGGCTTCTAAAGCATAATTTATGCATTCGCTTAATATTCAAATTAAACATAGTCAGTCTGGATTAAACGTATTGAAACATGGTAAAGTCCTATGTGTAGCATTAATGTCTATTATAATACTGCACGTTTGTAACGTCATTTTTCATTGGATAATCGTGACGTTTACATAGTTTTATATACACGGCTTCTGTCGATTCATGAAGAAATCTTACTTTTTTCTCTAAAAATGACGCTTGCTGTTTTATAAATTCGTTATAAAGATTGTTGACAGGTTATATGGCCGTATATAAACGGCTATTTGCAATATAACCCTCGCCTAACGGCTCGGGTTATATTTACAGATAGCCGTTTATATAGGGCCATATAACCTGTCAACGATCTTTATAACTAATACTATACCGTTTTTAAAGAAAATATATATAATAGAAAAAAACTTATATTTCTCATATTCTTATAAATGAAATATTGAGACAAATTGATGAAATAAAATGCGTATTTTCATTTGCCGTATTTTCACTGTAAAAAATTGATTTTTCGCTGCAGTGATGTCCGTATTTTCACTGTTGTCTTGGCGGACTACTTTCTTCTAATTTCTGCCAGAACACACAATTTAAGAGAAATCCTTTAAAATGTAATGTCAAAAAACATGTATATAATGTAACAATGACTTTGAGTTTTTGGATAATAACAGAACCCAAATAGATTTCTTGATATTGCTTTTCGATAATTATTTGTCAGCCATCCACATTGCGACCATTTGACTATTAACTGAATTAAGAAAACACATGTGTTTGTATGAATGTCCGAATATATATATATACACATTATAAAGCGTACATAACTTCCTCTTATGTAACCGTATGTTTTTCAGCGCCGATTGGAAAATGTTTTTCTATGTCTAGAGGAAAATTGGAAATCAAAATGTTTAATACATGCTTATATAGTGTTCATTTTTAATTTAATTGAACTGCAAACATCACCGATTATTAAATGATGATCTTCTGGTATCAAGTTTGAAGGGATCCAGCTTTTTTCAAACCAAAATAAAATACTATTCAGTGTCTGAAACATCTTTTTGCCAGTAACCATATTGTCAGTAGTATCACCAGATTCAAAACAATGTCAACAATGGTTATCATTCTCAACACACGTAGAGGTAGATTCACATTTTCATCAGCAGTATACGCTAATACAATATCTGAAAACAAGTAACGATAAAAACTTCATTGGTAAACAATTTGTAACATTGTTGAGCTAATTATTGTAATAAAATGTTATATTGTTATCGCACATTAAAAGGTAATTTTAATAAACATGCAATGAAGATAAAAATGTCTTGCCAATGGTTGGTTACTCTTATTTATATCAAATTCACTCGGTAGATACTTTTGAGAGATTCTATGACTGTAAGAATACAAATGGTTGGAATGTAACCCTTCCTCATCCTTTCGGGTTACGTGTGTAAGTATCATTTACAAAGTGCCAAAAAGTTCGTAACTATAAAAAATACCCGTACAAAGTAGAAATAAAACGGAATATGTTTGATATTTACAAGAGACAAACAATCTCAAAAACTCTATTTCATTTACCTAATATACAAAAAATTCCAAGCAGGATAAGCATAACTACCAGACAAATATTTTGCCGACTATTTCTTTCGCCTTCAAAGCGACAAATAACTAGCCAATAAATGCAACATGTCTCGTAAAGTGCTTTTAAAATCAAGAAACTCGCTGCAATTATTCCCAGAGTACTTCCATGTTGAGCAATGTTCCAAATACCTGAAAAAAGAAATAATATATAGGACTACTTTGTAAAAGTGATTGTTTGAAAATTGCATAAATGTTCACAATCAAACCATAAATTGAACCTATTATGTAAAACGTGACCGACGTTTCTACCAACAATATAATAACATCTACCATATAACTTCCAGAAATGAGTATTCCTGCACATTTGATGCGTAACATGTAATTCCTGTACGCCGGTTAAAATCACACCAGGGATATAAGATAATCTCATGTGTGTCCAGCTAACTTCCTAAGGTTAATGTTTCTAAGCAGGTATTTGCTTAAAATGTGCACAGAGGACACCAGAAGTATTCACTCACAAATAAAGCAGCGAAATCGTCAATGATTTTTTACAGAGACAGTGTGATTGAAAAGTTTAAAACCAATAATCAGTAAGATAGAATAGAGCACGGTCAAGAGAATAACACAATAAAAATAATAACAAAAAATTGCTTTAACACTTGACTATCATTTCTCATTAGAATTAAATCATTTTAAGTATATAGTACTTTACGAAAATTTTAGACATGATGCTTAAAACCAAAGCCAAAACACCCAAAAATCTCGAAAACTGGTTCGAAATAAGAAAATATAACGTAGTATTATTTTTATAACTATAATTAGTATTAAGTTAAAATATTATCTACAGATGAACATGTTTGACTTCTATAACCTACTCATTTAACCAAATACCTATATAGTGCATTTTTCCTATTATGTAATAAAAACAATTTAACAGAAAATAAGAAATGTTTGACTGCAACCGGTACATAATTTTATGTCGTTTTAGATATTCATGTTTCCGAGATCTTCTTATAAACCTTATAATAAACAACTTACCGATTCCCAAACGGAGACAGACCATAACATTTGTAAAGGAGCAAACAGCTAGTTTTGAGTCTGAAGAAAATAATTATAAACGTTATACATAGGAACAAGACATAATATACTATGTTGTTGCCATTTAAAGGTCTAATGAATGTGTCATTATGGCGAATATTATTGTGTTTGTCCAGTAATTGGTAATGGAATTGTTGATGAGACACTATTAAAACTACCTTAATTATAAAAAGACTGTCCAACTCTTTTTAAGAATTGGACGTTACCGATACATTCTAAACGATATTTACAGAAAATTCCGCGGATCAAATGGATTATTGATTATTTTTTCATTGTAAAATATAGAATTGAAGTCAAGTCAGTCGGATTTTTATATTGATCCTTTACACATGTATGTTTAGGTCGTCCGTGGCCGAGTGGTTAAGGTCGTTGACTTTAAACCACTTGCCCTTCACCGCTGTGTGTTCGAATCCCGACAGGGACTTTGGATTCTTTCATGTGAGGAAGCTATCAAGATAGCTTACGGAACGTCGGTGGTACTACTTAGGTGCCCGTTCGTGCCGAAGGGCACCTGAGGTCTTCCTTCACCAGTAAAGCTGAAACGTCGCGATATAACCTATACTGTGTCTATGCGACGTAAAACCCAATTAAAAAACAACAAAAAAAACCAACACGTACTGTCCTAGGATGATAACTTGAGCCTTTGTTTACATAACAAAGACCAATAACAATGCGAAAAATAGGTTAGGCAGATCAATGCCACAAGCTATAAAAATGAAAATAAAACTACATGTACATGATATTATATGTCTTGTTAGCGCAGTAGGTAGAGCAACCGTGTCAGTAATGTGTTTTACCCGTACAGACAGAAGTTCGACTACTGGTACGACACATTTGTTTTTACCTCAGAAAGTCAATTTTTCAGAAAACAAGTTTAACCGATTTTTTCCATATACATACATGACTATGAGATCGAATATTTTATTACACTGCGATCAAAAAATACAAAAAGAAAATAGAATAGAAATATAAAAAATAAATATATACTATAAAATATATATTATAAACAGAAAACTAAAAGGAAAACGAAAAATAAATAAATAGTAATGATAAAAAAACAGAGCAAGAAGAAAAAACTGTGGTAATAAAATGGCAATGCGTAGGGTTCGAACACACTAAAAGTTACAATAATTCCGATCTACCGACAGAGCCATAACGGTAATACACCAACGAGTCTGTAAGAATTAAGCAATATAGTATATGTAAGTGTTCACTTTTACGATATCGGATTATAATCCAGATAACCCCGTTTTTGGACTTTTCCATGTACCGTTAAGACCAAATTATCATCCTAGGACAGTATGTGTGTGTGTGTGTGTGTATGTGTTTAGTATCAATAACGATGAAAATCAAATAGCTTATGTGCAAAGAGTTACAAAAAATAATGCTTACAGAATCCTCTGCGGTCATTGGAAGAATTGGCTGACTGTGAGCGGTGGGAATCTTGGATCCGTGGTGGTTGCCTGAAGCAAAAAAAAAAAAAAATGACAAATGGAATTTGACTTTTATTGAAACTGTATCATCTATATGGGACATATGTTCCATCTAAGTAAGGAAGATTATTTTTTGTAAACATTATTTCACGTAATATCAATTTTATTACAATACTTTTAAATTTAAAGTCTAACGTTAAGACGTAGGTGCTTTTCTCATATTAGTTGAGAACAGTTGGATGTAGAAAGTTAATTAAGAGCTTCTGAGAAAGTTAAGTTTGCGCTTTTGGCGTTTGACAAGGAAATGTGAGGGAGACACATCATGTAAGTGAACGTTAAAGTCACAAAGCAATTTGAAATAATCTGTTCATGACGACAGCTATGTCATTCACCCGAGAAATGCAGAATTACAAGTATTTTACATTTTATTTTATTTTATATATAAGAATTTAATGTTGTAGTAGCTTTCTGAGGCTTTGTAGTTTACTACGAGCAGCATTGAAAAATTGATATCTCGCTCGACCATCGGAAATATCATTTTTTTCACGAAGCGAGTAGTAAAATAGGTGGCCTCAGAAAGCGACTACAACTGGATTATCCTTTTAGTATAATTATGCATTTACGTTTTAGGACAAAAGAAATTCCAATATACTTAACTTTTATTACTTGTTTTAGAAACTGAAAAATAGCTGTCAAGATATTAAATTCGTGAATGGCAGATTAATAAGTGTTTTCTTTGCAAAAGAGACCACGATTTCAATAGTTTTGGTTCCCATTTTAAAATGCTACGTCATATACAGATCAGATTGGAACCAACGTAAGAAATAGTCGAGCACTGCCATATATGGTACTGTTTTGGTCACTAACCTAATACGATTTTTCTATCCGCTGAAGCTTAATCGCGTATTTCAGGGAGAAAATTTATAGGTACATGTATATGACAAATATTATTACAGTATCAAAGTCTAGTCTTACACTATGCTAATCTCATCATACACTTGGTGAGGCGCTGTACGACCAGGGACTTCCCCTTCCTGAGACAGAGATCGTGAATATCTACCGGGGGAGTCGTTGTTTAATTGTGTTGGTAAAGAATTGCTATCTAATAGCACGCTGACATGCAATCTTTCCCTTGGACTATGTCTTTCAAATTCCCGTTTTACATCTAAGACCAGTTCACAGAATTCAATTTCTAGAAGAGTGGATAGATGTTCTTCACATTGCCACAAGTGTGTCAAAAGAATATTATTGTCCATGCAATTTGCTAAATTTTTCTCTAATGATTGCAGATAATTCTTGATATCAATATGCTTCTGCTCAAAAGTTTGGTAAAGCCTTTTTAAATCCCCGTTTTTAGCGACAGATTGGTTGTATTCTAAAATCAAGCTAGTATTTTTTTGAATTTCTTCGATGCGTTTGATGCTATCATGAATAAGGGAAATAGAATCAACAATTATCCTTCGTACTTTATCAATATCTACATTTTCTACACCACTCTTTGTAGGGTTTCTGCTAGTAGCATGTGTTTCTTTGAAGTTATAGTAATCATCGCTATATAATTCTGCTGGTTTTTGGGGTAATGTGTCATATCCTTCATAGTAAGATACAAGTGGCTTCAAAACCATGTCGGTCGTAAAGTCATTTGTATTGGAAGAGACGTTAAGTTCCTGGCTGCATCTTGGGCACTTAGACGGCTGTGATCTGAAATAAGGTACAAGTAAAAGAAAAGGACATAAGTGATGATGTTTTATAAACGAACACTCTTAAAAGTATGGTTGCGTTCTTTGTAATGCGTAAAACAAACACGCTTTACAAAGGTCTTGGTGTGGAATGCGTGTAATTCTAGAAACAAAATTTAAAAGAGCAATAAAACCGAGTCTTCAATTTTCAACTTTTTTATGTTTTCAATGCTCTTTTTGGATCTTTTTCTCTAGCAGATCATCTCGTACTCCTTCCAAGATATATCTTTCTCGTCCTTTAGAAACTTCGGATTATCTATTGTTTGAAACAAAACATCGCTCAATACCAAATATTGTTCATAATAGAAGAAAACCAGTACAATTTTAGTAAGTTGTAAGTGTTATTTTGATGTCTTATTGAAATTAAAGTCTATCCTTTTTTGTATAGTCTAGGGTATACGAGTATTAATACATATATGATTCAGAAGTTAATTTCTACGAAAATGTCTTCTAATGTTTCCTAACGGTATTGTATCAATACATGTCTTATAATTATGTGTTGTAACAATCTTACATGTTGTACACTTACCCTAAAAGTTTCTTCAGACATGGACTTTCACAAACACTGTGCTGACACGGTAGCCGCTTAGGATCGCCTTTAAATCCCTCGTTACAGAGTGGACAAATTAATATTTTTTCATAATGTCCGCTCATTTTCATGCAAAGATTAACAATATTAAAAGTTTCAATACTTCCTGAATTTTAGTCTATCTATACGATTAACATATGAACAGAGGATATACAATGTGTGACATGATTAAAGATATATTTTTATTTATGGCCCGATACTCTTTAACTTCAAATAGTTTGGTATCTATTGGAATACCTACTTGATATGTTTGCATTAAATAAATATGACATTAGAATGTCCTAATTTTGATGAAGAATTCATCTTTCCAAAAAGTATATGATATATAGGTACGATAAACGAATTTATTGAATGAATATTGTACGGTATTATATCTGATTTCATTTAACAGTATATTCATTTTACACATTTAATTTGTTCGAAAGGTAAAATATATATAGATTTTTTTTCTACAATAGATAATATATTGGGCGCAACGTGAAAGGGCAATAACGAGACCAAATCGATATAATTACCATATAAACACCGAGTATACATTGAAAGCATACGCCTACATAGTTCATAGATTCATTATACTTAAAATTTGATATTTGAAAATATAAATTGCTATACAGATTTTATGTTTATGTCAAATAGACATTTTTGTGTGTTCATGTCATTTTTAATAGGCATGACATTATTGTTGTGTTTGTGGTATGTTTAGTTTTTTTTCTACATCTATTTTCTAGTTGGGTAATCCTTACTTGAATGCTGTTTTAATCACAGTTAGGGTATATGACCTGCTTAAATATATATAATAGGCGAAAAAAATATATTTTTTATCTTGTCATGAGCATTAACTTAAATAATGAGACCATCAAACAGAATCAAAATTCATTGTTTTTATTTCTAAAGATACTACATTGTTTTTCGAATCGCTTGATGGATAAAAATTTGCACGGTAGCAATATATTATTGGCCGATACACCTGCAATGTGTCTTTCTTTTTATCAATCACTGCGTGTAACGAAATCAGTTTAGCGGATATTAACTGTAATATTGAAATGCCTTGAGAACACAGTATAGTACGTTAAAGCTGAACATTTCATTATAGTCGCATAAATTGTTTTTCTTTCTTTCTTATATTTCTTAGTATGAGAAATTTTTATAACGATTTAATTAAGTTAACCAGAATTTAACTGTTTAAATGTGTTTTTTTACATTTATGCAACTTTAATTTCAAATAATTATAGTGTTTTTATTCGACTTTATATAAGAACTATATATGATGTATATAGACAAAAACTAAAATAGTGAGAAATAAGGAATCCCTTAAAACTCATCAAACGACAAAAATGAAAATGATGCAGGCTCGGTTTGATTGAGTCTATTCATGGATGGTTATGGAAAAAAACATTCCACGCCCCTTAAAACCGACTGAAGCAGTATTCAACATTTTACATGAAATGTTAAAATTTGGATTTTTTAAAACATCCACAGAAGTGGTTATACGGCGGTTATCATGGATTATTCATTGTGACACGTTAGTATCAGTCAGTGAGAGGCGTCGTATGGTCCCCAAGTAAAAAAAGATTGTGCCCTAAACGGGAAAACGATGGGTGGAACAAAATAAAATTGACTTTTGAAATGTGATCTGAGGTTCTGAAGCCATCACATCACAGATAAGCTGTCAAAAGAAAAAAATAAAAAGCAGGTCACATATCCTAAGGGTGATTAAAACAGGATTCAAGTAAGGAATACTGGAACCACCCAGCTAGAAAATAGCTGAATAGAAAGAACCTATAATAAAAAAGAAACAGCGGGCACAACTATAATGTGCTGAGCGATCGTTTTTCGGATCACTTTAAACACTCCTTGTTTTTATCTTTACATATTCTCGTGTTATGTTGATACCGCACAATACGTCAGTTTAATCAATCAAAATATATCAAATCTTAAGATCAATGTTGATAATGTAATCTCTATTGATTATGTTATCAAATGTTAGGCGAACTGGTACCTGAAATATTGAATATAGAGAATTAAAAGGGTTGAATATAAAGGTTTAAAGACATAATTACTCGAAGACAAATAGCATACGGGACTATATATAATAAATGGAATTTAACATTGAAAACAATGCAGTGATGACAAATGACGACATCATGACATTTCATTTGCTAGCATTGAACTTTCTTTCCGTATAAATACAACAAAAACTCTGTATAGTAAATTCTTGATATATATTAAAATGGGAACAAATGCATCTGTAGATAAAGGCTCGAAAAAACACACAGAGGCATTACAAGAAATCGCGTCTGATGAATGTGTAGAGGAAACGGCCAGTGTCTTGTTTTGTGACCCTTGTAACTCTGCTGGAGAGGAAAATGAAGCCGTTGGTTATTGTGTTGATTGCAAAGAATGTCTGTGTAGCATCTGTTATAAGAGTCACTCAAGAAATAAACTATCAAGATCACACGTTTTATTGAACCGCGATGCAATACCCGGAGAGTTTGCCAAACTTTGTGACTCGTGCAAAGTGGTGAATGATGAGAACGAAGCTGAAGGTTTCTGCGGTGATTGTAAAGAGTATCTTTGTGCTGAATGTTTTCAGGGGCATGCAAGGAACAAGCTCTCGAGACATCATATAATGTACAGTAAGCACAACATGCCGCGACCTATAACCGGGAACTTTCAAGAAAGGGAAAAAATCAAAGAAGAAAGTACGTACAACGAAGAATATCGTTTAGTGTCGTCCTTGAATGTCATTATGAAGCCGGAAGAACAAAATAGCTATATAACTGGAATTGCTTTAGTATCAGACCACCAAGTGGTGATGACAGACGAATTAAATAGATCTCTTAAACTCTATGACAAGAAAGAGCATCATATTTGGAGTGTGAAAATGGAATCAGTTCCAAATCGAATTACTTCAATATCGCACGACCAAGTTGCGGTTGTTCTACGTAATGAGTGCAAGATAAAAATTTATTCAATACCAAAACTTGAAACCATACGCTCATTGAAAACAGATGGTACTTGCGTGGATATCGAATGTGTTAAAACAAAGTTGTTTGTTTCATTTCGTAAACCGCTTAAGTTTCAGGTTCTTGATCTTACAGGCAAAATAAAAAGTACGATTTTACCCGATGATGCGATTACTGGGAACTGTGATTCACCAAGCCGTATAGCTGTATACCATGACGAAAGTTTGATATTCATATCAGACTGGAAAAGAAAGACGCTCATGAGCATGGACATGGATGGCAAAATGGTGTCTTTATTTCCAACACCACTATCCTGGTGCGAACGATGGCGTTTCATGTCCGCTTGCGGGTTGCCTTGATGTCAGCAAAAAACGTCTCTATGTCAGCAGCGGTTACGTGACAAATTCTGAAGACAGCAATGTTATAAAAGTTTTCGAATGGAGATAAAAAAGATCATCGTTTGAACATTAAAACTGAAAATGTAAAAAAAAACAAAAACAAAAAAAAATGGAGTAAACTTAATGACACATTTTTCATGTCTTGTGAGGTAGTTCTTATACAAGCCCATATTATAAATCATTATCATAATAAAACTTATCGTTTCACTAGTCCGTATATGAATAGTGTTTTATAGATGATTGTTCATTATTAAATTAACGCATGCTGATACATTTTTAAATTTCGTTCAAAGTTTATATCAAGTCTTGTCCATAGCGTTTCGTTGTTAAGCTGTGTATGTCACTTATACTGCATTAACTCATCTTTAAAATTTCATTAACAGGACAATTTGCGAATGGGATCAGTTGCTTGTTGCCAAGTATTGTCTACAGACACGCAATGATGAACTAAATGTTGTACAAGGTTTGACATATGCATGATACCATCGTATGTTTTATTCGACATGTATTTGGATAAAAAAGGAAATCAGGTTGTTGAAATGATGTGCTCATATAAACAGACTGTGAAACCGAGTCTGCAGTTGTCATTTATCTGATTATATTTTAACTGCTTCCAATAAGGCCTTGTGTCCTAGTTGTAGAACTACGTTTAAATCATAGGTATATGAATATTGAAATAATAACATCGACAACAACTACAAAAAAAAAAATAAAAAAATGTAATAATATTTTAGTCTATTTATTGTGTATACAATTACTTCTAGATGAAAATGGCGTTATGTTGCTATGAAATAGGATTATATATTTTATGATCGACTGAATGCTTGGTTTGAGTCTAGTATTTATATTGTTAGTGCTTTTGGTTAATGTTAGTTTATTATACATGTTATAAACACAGCATTTGTTTAGTTTGGTTGTGTGGAAAAATTGTGAAGTAATCTTAGAAATTTAAATCTGCCGCTATTAAAGTATATGAAGCTATATGTTAGTTATTTTTACAGACGGGAAAATTATATTGTAATTCCCTTAGTCTGGTCGTCTTTCGAAATATTTCTAACATTGAATGTCTCTGTAAATCATTTCAGAAAACAGATTAAAATGTTTCGTAAAATATTATTTAAATCTGTGTTTAAACCTTTAAGGAATGATTTCCTGTATGTGTCATTCAGTTATAAGGAAATATACAAACTTATCTCAATTATACAGGAACATTGGAATTACAATGTACTATAATTTAGTAATCCGCAGCTAGGAAGCAGATACATACATATGGCTTCATAACATTTGAGTTCTGTAAAATATTTGTATATAGCGGATGAAAACAGTTCCACTAGCATCTTAAAATTAACTGCCTTTCTTTTTTGTACATATCATAACTCAATTACAATTGCGAGAAAATATTTGATTAAAGCTATTTAACGAAATGCAGTATATTCCTTATTTCATTCTTTTTCACACAGAGATTTGTATGAACATTTTTCAAATTAAAATTGACAACTTATCGACTAATAGAGGCAACATCTTTGTTAACTTTGTGAAACTAGCACTTTTGTTTTGGAAACAAAAGTCACCTTGGCATTTGTCGTTTGAAAGTCTTTTCAACCTTTCGACTTTTCATGTTAATATAACAATATGAAAGATTGAATTTATATGCTTAATGTCTATGCGTCAGGTTAACGCTTCTGCATAAAAAACAGGAGCTCAACAAATTGCCAAGGGACATTCCAAGGTTGAATGGGCATAGGCTTATTATTTTCCAAAAACAGAGTATTGGTTTCAGCTTAACACAAATGTTTGTAAGCAAACCCGCGATGACATTCCTTTCATCTTTTTTTTTTAAATTAGGCACCCACGTATTTGTAATGCATAACTTATGTTATCAGCCTTTAAAGTTCGTATCACGTACGGGAGTTGTTTTTTATAGTTCAATCTTGGGTATTGACTAAACACACGTAGATATCTATTTGTAATTTCGTTGAAGGTTAAACATGATAAACGAGCAGTCTTATCAAAAGTTTTACGTTTAAAAGTCGTATATAACCTTGTTTGCTTTAGCGGATTTTGTATCAGTTGCTAAATCCGTGAAACAAGTTTTTTGCAGGTTGCTCAACTCATATGAACATATCGACATTAATAATATTTTGTTTTGCCTTTTAATCTTACTAACAGTAGACAAAGCATTTAAATTTAAATATTTGTTTAAAAAAAACAACTTTTTACCGATTGTATCTCATTAACCTTATTGTTTTACTGAGTCTGCTATTTTATATTTATGTTGTCTTTCACAGCTGTCTATAGATTTTTATATTCACATAATTATTTTATGTAGAGTTGCTGTAAAAATGTTTATCAAACTGCAAGGCTTAGGTTCAATTATAAAATCAGACAATTGCATATGTCGACTATATAATAATAAACACGTTTCAATTAATGAAGATGATTAATACTGTTTCGTTACATTTACAGATGTAATATATCGAATTCAAGTCATCATTAAAATACTTCTTTATGCCTGTCCTACATGTTGCAAATTGCTATGATATTTATCCAAATCAAGCTAGATATTTTTACGTGATACCTGTCTATTATGTATATCATGTGAACTAGGTTAAAAACTTATTATATAGAAAGTGTTTATAAATATATTGAAATCGACATAAAACTATTATAGCAAACGTTTGAATATATTTTAGAATGAGAACATTTCGTTTAATCCCTCCAGGTGACATGAACGCATTTTTCTTCTTTTCATTTTAATGCAAAAGCTTGTTTATTTTTTTTATTGTAAACAGCTTTATTACACACTTGTTTATTTTGCTCTTGTAATTTCCCATAAATCGTTCAGATTTATTCGTAATATTATATGGGTGTTCGTGGCCAAATTGCTAATGTCGTTGTCTACAAACCGCGTTACCATCACAGCTGTGGGTTCGAATTCCGAAAGGGTCTTGGTTCTACTTAGGGAATGAGCCCCATAATGGGCACTATAAGGAACTATAAAATTGACAACATAGGTCAGTAATTGTTATATACCTTAAAAGACACAAGAATGCAAAATTTAAACAAAGTTTACCGTATGGTTTACGAGTTATGGAGATTTTTCTAAAGTAAAACTTGGCTATTAGAAGGGCTCTTTTTCAGAAATGGGAAACTCTAATTATTCTGTTATATGATCATTATGAACTAATGTTTTCCTATAGAATTTTTTAAGAAACAAATAATAGCATTCAGCTAACAAATGACCCAGCAAAATTATTGTTTCTACTCAAAATGTTTGAAATATGTATATAAATGTTACCCTACCCACCCATTTTAAGAAGTTGTTTGTTCATTTTTCTACTTGGAGGGCCTTATTCAAAATATCCCTAAAATTTACTCAAATCAGGGGCTGTTTTCAAAGTTTGCATAAATTTTCTTAAAGGTATATTAGTTGCGCTTGTCAAATATAAAATACTTTTACCGTCTAGTTTTTATTTTATTAGACTTTGAAAATACAAGGTACCATATTTGATAATAAAATTTGACACAATTTAGCCAATATATACCAATAATAATTTTATAATTAAAATGAAACACATTTTTTCTTATCAAGAGTGATCTGAGAGACACAAATAATGTTTAAAGAAAAAAAAAGAAAGAAAAAAAAGTTGCCTCTTCCGGGGCTTGAACCCGCGCCCCTCAGTTTCAATGCAGTTGACAGTAGTTCTAGCCTATTTGAGTACTCTTCAAAGTGGAGGTAATGCATTAGGTGGGTCATACCTTAAGTCGTTGGTTCTACTTAGGGACCCGTTCATGCATGAAATAATGTACGGAAGGGAACCTGAGTTCTTCCTCCACCAATAAAACTGGAACGTCGCCATATGATCTATATTGTGTCGGTGTGACATACAACCCAATCAAACAAATGTGGTATTATGTCAAGAAAATTAATATGAAACCATATACTTTGGTGTTGCATTTTTTATGCATGCAATAGCTGAAGCTTTCTTTTTCTTAATCTGAATGTCGCTGGAGTAATTAATGACAAAAATTGAAAGAAATATAGTAATCAGCAGGTTATGCGGTAGTTTCTTCCTTTATTACGTCTTAATATATAAGTATTAAAGAATGCTCCCTTAGGTACGGAATTATCGTATTGTCAAGCCTTGATATTCTATAAAGAAATAAAGTGCTCACTCTACTATGTCGAACAATACGAATAATAATTTAATTAAGACCGTTTGTTGTATCAATGGTATTCGATAAATTATTTCCTATTTCGTGTATAAAAAAGGACTATCAAGGGAGGTAAGCAATGTATACGTCGACATTTACTTTATGTCGATATTAAGTTTCCTTGTACAATGTAAACTGAAGTTAGTACTATGCTTATGTCTTTTGATGCCTACACGTGAAAAATTTCTTATTTGACTTTTAAATATCTAATACGACTTTGGGCTTGATGAATTTTGCACCTTCCAATTTCCCAGTGAATACACTCACTGACATTTGAAAATCCAATTCAACAGGCACAAAATGCACCGAAGCTTTAAATTTGATATTGCGACAATCTAGGTTTGATTTGGAGGAGGATTGTAAGCGCGCATTAATGATTCAAGGCAGGAGCGAGAACTTGAGTAGATCCATTGACCCTTTTTAAGCAAGCTGAAGAATTTCTTTAACACAAAGACTGGTAAACAAACACCGACAGTGTTGCCACTACTACTACTATTGCAAAAAAATGTAACAAACATTGCAAAATTCAGATTGTACAGATTGTGCAAAATTCGACTTTTGACTAAACCAAAGTTGATAGCAGTCCCGATTATGTGCGTGAAAGATTAAAGTGTTTTTAAACCAAAGTTTAAGAAATATGATGTGTTATATACACAGTTAGATAGTTATATAACATTTGTAAATAATAATAATAATAATAATAATAATAATAATAATGATGATAATACGGAATCCATTCGTTAATT